GTTTTTCTAACACGTACAAGAATAATTCAACATAACATTTAATTAAAATCTACGGAAACTAAATAACAAAATAATTTTAAGAGAAATTATTTCAGAGATGATAAAAGAATTTGTTGTTATAATTAATATGATATTTATTTCGAACCGAAAAAGATTTTACCCATTTCAATAAAAATTAACACAAGAAAATCTCCAAAAAAATATGAATCTTTGGACATTTTCTTAGACTTTCATACTGGATTTTTTATATGATTTCAAATGGTTATAAATGCAAAAGTTTCAATCACCTGGTAATGTAGACGTCTGGATTGATTTCTAGCGAACGTCTGTAAACTGTCAGGTTGACTTTTTGTGTAAGTATAAATACGTTGTTTTGTCCAACGTTTAGTCATGCAAATCAGAGCATTTCAAACGTGTTTTGAGGAATTTAAAGTTCATACACTCATCCAAATATCTTTTATACATTTTGTGATTTATCATTTATCAATCCATTCTATTCTAATATAGACCATAACAATCAAGACTATAGAATAAATGTTGTTTTATAATTAAAAAAAGGTCAATAGTAGATTGGTTTATCACAAAGTGGACCCAAAGAATCTTATATTTATCTATTTATGAACATACTTATATTGATGTCAATTAAGTTTGCTATTTAATAACAACCTTAAGGGCTGTTTGTTTGTGGCTTAATGGGTTGTAATTATAGCTTATTCATTCAACTAAAAAAGGTTGTTTGAATAGGGCTTATTCGCTCAACTCAAATACATTAGTCCTATGGCTTCAACCAGTAATATTCCCCAACTACCCTCCTCTTATCTTCCTCTATAGATCGATTGATGCTCCTCCTCCTGAGATCATGCTCCCTTGGCCTTCTTCATCTCTGGTTGCTCAATTTCTCCAAACTCGATCTTTTCTCTTGTTGCTCCCTTGGTGATATGTTCTTGTAATCGAGCCCTTTTTGTTCCTGAAATTTGCCCCTCGACTTTTTGCTAGGTTTTTGGGTGTTTCCTGAAATCAAGCCTCAATTTTTTGTTGATTACAGTAGCAATCGGGCTGATATTTTTGATTTAAGGTTATTCACCTTTCTTGCTTGATGTGAGTTTTTGATTTAGGGTCTTCATTTTCTTGTTTTTTCTCATGATTTTAGGTTTGATGTGAGTTTATTTTGATTTAGGGTTCTTCACCTTTCTTGCTTGATGTGAGTTTTTCCCCCTCATAATTCTGGGTTTATTTTGATTTATCGCTCCTCTGATCATCAATAGGAGTTTGTTGTTCCTTCAACGTAAAACAAAGGGTAAAATAGTAATTGTCACCATTCAGATTGTTTATTCAGCATAACAAACGAACAACAACTTATCAATTATCATACATACAACTTTATCACGGCAGATAACTTTATCCATACGAGACTTAATGGAAAACAAACCGAACAACCCCTAAGTGGGTGGAATATATAATCTTAAAGTTGTGGTCAGAAATCACAACTTCTAAAAGTTGAATACCAAATGTAAAATTTCAAAGACTATAATTATGTAAATTATACATATAAAAACAATACTTTAACTGAAAAATCGATTCAAAAAACTTTCTTCGTCTCCACATGGCAACTAAATCTAACAATTTATATACGTGCAGACAACCAATTAACCGAACCAAGGTTGTGGATATTGGGTTAGAATGGAATGTTACAGTTATTTCGATCGTGGACCAGAACAAAACAAATTGTTATAGCATTATTTGATATATAAATTGCATGAAAAAATAACGTACAATATTATAATAATTATTTTGTGTAGCAAAAATTTCAAGATCTTTATTTTTTATATATATGATATTTGACATCTCAAACATTTAAATACATGGATAACTGATATAATGTCAATATCATATGTCGATTTGGTCAATAATGTGATACCGTTTAATATAAAATTAGTCTTAGAATATTTTTAATTAAAAAAATACCATTCCGTTGTCATTCTAAATACGTGTTGGCCGTCTCAGCTTTCACAAGAAATTCTTTTTCAACAGCTCGCGTTTGCAAATGTAGCGAAGACAAAACTTATTTCCAGAGTCTGGATAATAGTTCACACAAGATTCTGCTCTTACTAAGATACAAATATCAGAAACCAGGTTTCTACCTGTCGAGTGACTTTTTCTATGTATGGATAGAGAGACAAAAACTCGAATAAAAATGGATTTTTGTTAGCTAATGAACAGTATATTAATCTTTGATGACAATATTAGCTTATTAGTTTATTTGGCTTTTCTTGATTGTATTTTTATAATTTTTCGGATTGTAGATCATTGTTGATTCTTAATATAACTTAGGGGTCGTTTACTAAACGCTTACTCGGATAAGTAAACACCAAATCACATTACTTTATTGGATGAATAGTAAGGATCAATGATCTTACCCGGTAAGAGCGAGATAAGGACCAAGAGTCTTACCAGATAAGTGAAGGAGACGACTCTTTATGACGATAAACGCTTACCGGGTAAATTGTTGCATACGATACCATTTTGGTGGACTAAATTCTTATCCGACAAGTAAATGATAGTGTTAAATTTTACCGGTAAGCTCTTACTGCAACAAGTGTTTGGTAAACGACCCTTTAGTTAACAATCACATAGATATGGGCCTTGTTTAATTATCATAAAGGGGAAATTGCATGAAAAAGTAATGTACCTTAATTTGATTCTTATTTTAGGTAACGTACTTTCAGAACTTCCATTTTGGTACCTAAGACGTAAAATTTTAAACATTTAAGTACCCGGGTAACCGGTTGAAGCATTAACAGGTTTATCATGCTGATATGGCGAGTGATGTGATATCCAAATCAGTATTATTTGCTGACGTGGTTAGTGACATGAATTTTTTATTCTAAAATTAGTCTTCAACCGATTACCCGGGTACTTAAATATTTAAAACTTTATATCTTAGAATATCAAAATGTAAGTTTTGAAAGTACGTTATCAAAAATAAGAATCAAGTTAAAGTACATTACTTTTTCATGCAATTTGTCCGATCATAAACTATCTTGGTTTTCGAGATTATTCAAAAAGTCTACTTTGGTTTGTCATCATCGGTAGTGCTTGATTGATTTGAGCTTGACTCTAAAGGTCAAAAGTACCTGGAGGTCTCATGTTCAAATCCAAAGAGAAATATAAATCCTCTTGTGGCCACGGAGATTCAAATGCGATGACTCCAAGCTATCTACAAAGCAGATGATTACCCTGAAATTAGTCGGCTCGCATAACGGATTGAATATCTATGTTAATAAAAAAAAATAAGATACATGACATTTTTTTAACTTTATTGTAATTATTCAAAAACCATATTATTGTTAAAAAGTTTCTCATTCATTTTTATTGACCTTTTTATATTATACATCACAAATATTATTACTATGATTATAATATTATTACATTATTAT